TGGGGGCTGGTGTTGTGGCACAGAGTTAGGCTGTGCAACACTAATGTCCCATATTGCAAAGTTCTGGCTGCTCTGCTTCCAATCCAGCTTTCTGCTAATGTGCCTGGGAAAGCAGCAGATGATGGCCCAGTTTGGGCTCCTGCCACCCACATGGGGGATCAACCAGGATGGAATTCCTAGTTCCTGGTTTAGGCCTGGCACAGAACTGACTATTGTGGCCACTTAGGGAGAACCAGTGGATAGAAGATATTTCTATCCCTCTCTTGCTCTGCTTTCAAATAAATCTTTAAAAACCCTGCCACTTTGAATGCCTACATGCCACTAATCTAGCTTACTATTAGCACCACACTCTAACCAACTGAGCTAACCAGCCAGCTCCGTTAGCTTACTATTAATACATCCCAAGAGTCAGCAAATGATGGCCCAAGTGCTTGGGTTCCTGTCACCCACATGGGAGACCTGGATGGAGTTCGGGGCTCTTGACTATGGCTTTTTAGGACATTTGGGGAGTGAACCAGCAGATGCAAGGTCAATTGATCTCTATCTCTGCCTTTCAAATAGATGAAAATAAATTCGCATTAAAAAAAGAAAAACTGAATGTGAATTACTAACACAAACTGGTTTTCTAATATACAGAAGGTGCAAATCACTGAATGCCAAGTTGAGATCCCAGCTAGTAGATCCAGATCCCTCATCTTTTTCACAAATTCCCTTTGTATTTTTTTTTAATTATTCATTTATTTAAAAGGCAGAGTTACAGAGAGGCAGAGAGAGAGAGAGAGAGAGAGAGAGACTTCTATCCACTGGTTCACTCCCTAAATGGCTGCAACTGGGTCGGTCTTTTGGGAGCCAGGAGCTGTTTCTGGGTCTCCCATGCGAGTGCAAGGGCCTAAGCACTTGGGCCATCTTCTACTGCTTTCCCAGGCCATAGCAGAGAGCTAGATCAGAAGTAGAACAGCCAAGACTCAAACTGGTGCCCATACAGGATGCTGGCGCTCCAGGTGGTGGCTTTACCTGCTACATCAGTGTCAGCCCCTCCCTCTGTAATTTTTAAAAATTTACTCATTTGAAAGGCACAGTTAGAGATGTCTTCCATCTGCTGGTTGACTCCCCAAATGGCTGCAAACTCAGGTATGGGCCAAGCCGAAGCTAGGAGCTTCATCTGGGTTTCCCACCTGGGTGCAGGGACCCAAGGACTTGGGCCATCTTCCACTGCCCTCCCAAGCACATTAGCAGGGAGCTGGATTGGCAGTGCAGCAGCTAGGACTCGAACCAGCACCCACCTGAGATGCTGATGTTGCAGCTGGCAGCTTAACCCACTAAGCCACAACACTGGCCCCTGATTTTATTTCTTTATAGTTACCCTCTAGGTGATGGAAGATTCTGACTCCTCTTCAGGCTTCTGTTCCTTCCTTTCCCAAAGATACTAATAAAGAACAGTCTTTCAGTAAATGTTTACTGAGTATCTATTTGGTGTTACACATTGCAAACATGAGCAGAAATAGACATGCTCCCAAGAACACAGATGAACAGGAGAGGAGCAGAGAAATCAGGTGTCACTCAAATAGATGTGTGAATAGGTGTATTGTACTTACTGAATACCATGAAGAGTCACATGTCCTGAAAGAACCTAATTCAGTACAATGAAGGGGCCAGCAATGTGGTGCACCAGGTTAAGCCACCTGCGATGCTGGCATCCCATATCAGGAGCCCCAGTAGAATCCTGGTTGCTGCCCTTCCCATCTAGTTAACTGCTAATGTACTTGTGAAGGCAGCAGGAAATGAACCAAGTGCTTGGGCCCTTGCTGTCCACGTGGGAGACTAGGATGGAGCTCCTGGCTTCCACCTGGCCCAGCCCTGGCCGTTGTGGCCATATTTGAGAAGTGAATCAGCAGATGGAAGATCTCTCTCTGTTACGCTTTTCAAATCTTGAGAAAAAAAAAAAAAAAAAAAAGACTTCTTAAGGAGGTGGCATTTGAAATTTGAAGTAGACAAAAAGAGGAGTGGTGGGAGTGAAGGCCAGGCCGGAATTCTAGGAAGGAGAGCGCATGAAGAACTGAAAGGCTAGGTTTGATGACTCCCTGCAGGCTCCATTGATGCTGTCTTCACCCTAAGGAGCAGTGTGAAACCTCCAGGACGCAGGCCACAGAATGAAAATCAGATTCCCATTTTGAAGTGCAGTGTAATAGCAGATTCACTGCCCCGGCCAGACCCGAGTGCCAGATTGCAAGGAAGAAGAAAGGTTGGAAGAAAGCGTGGCAGTTAGGAAGCCAAGACTCACACAAAGAATGTAGTCGCAGATCGTCTGGCTGGGCCTGTTCACTAGCCAAAGGCAGCGAATCTTCCTTGCGTCCACTTGCAGTTAGGACTGCTTTTGTCTATTATTTCTACCAAGAAAAGGCTAGGATAGTTGTCAACTGTCCCTATGATTATGAGCTATGTAGTAGTTGACTTTATAACAAATTACCAGAGACAGGCTGCTTTATAGACAAAGTTTATTTTGGTTTATGGGCCTGAGGTTCACAGTCCAGGATCAGGTGGGTCCCCAGTTCAGCAGCTATGTCTGTGTTGATCTGATTTGTCTGACCCTTTACAAGGCCACCAGGACTCCAGTCAGGGCTCCATCCTAATGACCTAACTTAATCACCCAGGGCCCCGCCACCCAGCACCATAATTGAGTTAAGTTTCTGCTCAGTTCTGTTAAGTGTTTGGGGACTAACATCCGGCCTGACTCTGGGGGAGGGAGCACAGCAAGTCACCCATCCTCCTGTCCAAGCAGCTGTAGCCCCCGACAGCAAATCAAGTGTGCTGCTGGGAAGCAGCTTTCCCCAGGAAGGCGCTTCCTTTCAAATTAAGATCTGGCAGCAGTTGGTAGAGGTGGGCGGAAACCGCTCCTGCTGTTCACAGCTGCTTTGTCAGCAAGTCACCTGTCCCCACTGCATGACACTGCGCTACTTCACTCACTGATACTGCTGCTCTCAGGCACATTATGTGTGGGGGCCGGCGCTGTGGTGTAGCAGGTAAAGCCACCGCCTGCAATGCTGGCATCCCATGTGGGAGTCCCAGCTGCTGCACTTCCGATCCAACTCCCTGCTATTGTGCCTGGGAAAGCAGTAGAAGACAGCCCAAGTGCTTGAGCCCCTGCACCTGGAAGAGGCTCCTGCTCCTGGCTTTGGATCAGCCCAGCTCCGGCCATTGCGGCCATCTGGGGAGTGAACCAGGAGTGAGTGAACCCTCTCTCTCCCTCCCTCCCTCTCTCTGCCTCTGCTTATCTGTAACTCTTTCAAGTAAATAAATATATCTTCAACAAAAACAAAGTTTCCTTAACATTCCCATGAATTAATCATTTTGTGAATTTCTTGCATTTGCTTCTGGGGAACACAACTTAATTATACACCAGCAGATGTAGACTACACATATGGTATGAACAGTGCTGATTTCTACACTTGATCTTAGCCAAAAGGCCAAGAAGCAATGTGTACTGGGTTTTTAAAAGGATTTATTATCTATTTCAAAGACAGATATTACTTATTTCAAAGAGACAGGGAGAGAGAGCTTCCATCTGCTGGTCCACTCCTCAAACAGCCACAACAGCCAGGGCTGGGCCAGGCTGCAGCCAGGAGCCTGGAACTCCCGTCTGGGTCTCCTACGTGGGTGGCAGGGGCTCAAGTACTTGGGCCACCTTCTGCTGCCTTCCCATGCACGCTAGCAGGCAGCTGGGACTGGAAGTGTCACAAGCAGCGGCTTCACCTGCTGCACCACCACAAGGGCCCCAAAGAGTACTGCTCTAATGCTGCCTTTAAAAAAAAAATAGGCATGTCTCAGAGACTTCTCCATGGCAGCGTATATGATGCTATTTGTAGGCTGATACGCGATACACACAAATAACATGTAGTTGTTTCGTTATTTTTAAACTGCTGAATATTCCATTGTGGAAGTGTGTATTTGCCATTTGTTTAGGTTGTTTCTGGGTCCTGTTTTTCGTGTTCTGAAAGGTTTGCCATGGGCTTGTGCCTGCGTCTTGCTGCACTTTCACAGATACTTCCTTAGGGAATCAGTACATCAGAAAATGCATAAGATCTCGAGACAGCAAGCAGCTCAGTGAACTCACACTGTAATAATAACGACAACAAATCAACGCAGGAAACCCCCAACGAGACAGAGTTGGTGACTGGAAGGGGAGAGGGGATTCGGAGTGCCAGGGGGCCACTCTGAGGAGATAAGCCGAGGTCAAAGAGCCAAGGAAGGAGGAGCCAGCCGTGCAAACTCCGGAAGGCAGAATGCACAAATGAGAGCCGACCCGGCCGGTCGCGGAAGCAGTCGGGGAAGCCAGCCTAGTGGCAGCACAGTGTGTGAGACCCCAGGGGGAGGTGCCTCCACGGCGAGGAGCGGCCGTTCGGATTTTGCTCCCGCTTACGTTGGGCGGGCGCGGGGATTGTAAGCGGGAGTGACAGCATGCATAATGAACACATGTCGCTGTGAAACGGGGGCTCCAGCCGCCACCTGCAGCGGCCTGCGGGGGTGCCTCCGTCCAGGCCGGGGGGCCGCAGCCGCGAGCTTACCTGTCCTCCAGGACCGACTCCATGGGCTCCACGCCGTCCGTGTCCACCTGGCGCAGCCGGTCGGCGAAGGCGATGGCTTTCTCCAGCCGCGCTACGGCCTCCTGACTGCCGAAGTCCACGAGCGCTAGACGCTCCAGGTGCTCGATCACCTCGGCCGTCACCCGGCCACTTCCCTGGGGAATGAATCGGGGAGGGTGGGTCACACGGACGCGGCCCGCTCCGCCACCCGCCTAGACGTCCCGGGCCTTTACCTGAGCATCCGCCTTGGCGGTGAAAGCCCGGAACCCACCCAGGGGAGCCCGAAGGCCCAGCCGTACTGCCCGCGCCCACATGTCTCCCCTTCCCGGCACCCGTAGTGCGCCACCCGTAAGGCCGAGCGACGCGCTTAATGTGACGCCATCAGGGTGCGCCCCTGCCGCCTCCTTCGCAGCCATCGCCATGAACAGCGTTGGGGAGGCGTGTACAGACATGAAGCGCGAGTACGACCAGTGCTTCAATCGCTGGTTTGCTGAGAAGTTCCTCAAGGGGGACGGCTCTGGGGACCCGTGCACCGACCTCTTCAAGCGTTACCAGCAGTGCGTTCAGGTGAGCCGCCGACCCACGTCCCGTGCTCTCTGCCGTGGGCTCCGCCACATTGCTTACGTCTTGCCGTGGCTGGAACCGAGAGCGGGGATGAGGGCCGTAGTGAGGGCAGCGGCAGGAGCCCTCTCCCCGCCCATCAGCACCGAAGCCGCCTGGGTGCCTCGCTGAAAGGCCAAGTACATATTTTCGCAGTGTTTTGCTTTTTATAGAGCACAGTGACATCCTTTGGCTCGTTTGGTGCTTATTCCAAACTTACACAGTGGGCAGAGTTGTTCGTAATTTGTCCATGGCAAACGACACTCAGAATTAACGGGTTGGGCTGGAGCTGGGAACTCAGTGCAGGTCTCCCGGCTGGGACACAGGAACCCAGTTACTTGAACCATCACCGCTGCCTCTAGGGTCTGCATTGGAGCAAAACGAACCCGGGCACCCAGATAATGGGACGCGGTCGTCTTAGCAGCTTAGCCGCTTAGCCAAAACCTGACCCTCAACCAATATTGAGAGCGGCTGACAGCTCAGAGGGTTAGTCTTTCTCCAGCTTTTAGGCACTATGGAAGATCCCATCGTTTTGTTGTTAAAATTCTTTCTTTCTTTCTTTCTTTCTTTCTTTCTTTCTTTCTTTCTTTCTTTCTTTCTTTCTTTCTTTCTTTCTGGAAGATCCCATCGTTTTGTTGTTAAAATTCTTTCTTTCTTTCTTTCTTTCTTTCTTTCTTTCTTTCTTTCTTTCTTTTTATTTATTTATTTATTTTGGACAGGCAAAGTTAGTGAGAGACAGACAGAGAGAAAGGTCTGCCTTTTTCCGTTGTTTATTTTGGACAGGCAAAGTTAGTGAGAGAGAGACAGAGAGAAAGGTCTGCCTTTTTCCGTTGTTTCACCCCCCAAATTTATTTATTTATTTATTTATTTATTTTGGACAGGCAAAGTTAGTGAGAGAGAGACAGAAAGAAAGGTCTGCCTTTTTCCGTTGTTTATTTTGGACAGGCAAAGTTAGTGAGAGAGAGACAGAGAGAAAGGTCTGCCTTTTTCCGTTGTTTCACCCCCCAAGTGGCCGCTGCATACCTGGCGCACCGCGCTGATCCGATGGCAGGAGCCAGGTGCTTCTCCCATGCGGGTGCAGGGCCCAAGGACCTGGGCCATCCTCCACTGCACTCCCGGGCCACAGCAGAGAGCTGGCCTGGAAGAGGAGCAACCGGGACAGAATCCAGCGCCCCAACCGGGACTAGAACCCCGGGGTGCTGGCGCCGCAAGGCGGAGGATTAGCCTAGTGAGCCGCGGCGCCGGCGTAAAATCCTTTTCTTGGCCTATGTCTGTCTCAAGCAGTCCTTAGCCGCGGCTATGAAATTTTCATGCAGGCTCAGTGGATGTGGAACTGCTCTGAGTTACAGTAGCACTGAGCCAGGCCTTCCCAAGAGGGTAACCGAAGTCAACTTCACACTGACTGTGAGATGGTCGCTGTCTTTACCCGTTACTGACGAGGAAAGTGAGGTCGGCTCAAGGTCACAGCCAAGAAGTCCTGGCACCCATGTTTGTACCCATGTCTGTCACAAAGAAAAGGGGGAAGACTTGTCATTCAGGTTTCATTTTTGAATTTTAATGGCTTCTCACAACTCCTCTTTTAATTTCTCTGGTTTTACACTTGGTTGCTTCATAATAGAACTTCTGTCTGTTTAAAAGTGATCTGGATAAACAATAATATAAATGTGTGGTTTGGGGCAGGTGTTGTGGTGCAGCACGTTAAGCCACCGCTTGGGGCACCTTCATCCCATGGTGAAGTGCTGGCTGAGTCTGGGCTACCCACTTCAGATCCAGCGTCCTGCTTATGCAGCTGGGAATGCAGCAAATGATGGGCCAGTTACTGGGGTCCCTGCTACCCACCTGGGAGAGCTGGATGGAGCTCCTGGTTCGTGGCTTCAGCCTGGGCCAGCCCCAGCTGTTACAGGCATTTGGGAACCAGCAAATGGAAGATCTATCTCTGTGTGTCACATGCTATTCAAATAAATAAATAAATAAATGACCTGCAGCATGGTTGTGAATCCTGTTTATTTGGCAGAGAGAGGCACTCCGTCTGTTTGCTGACTCCCTAAATGTCTGCAACCTAGCCAAAGCCAGGAAGTGGTAACTCATTCTCTTCTCCGGGTGGCAGGCGCCCAATTACCTGAGCCATCGTTGTTGCCTCCTGAGATCTACGTTAGCAGGAAGCTGGAGTCAGAATCTAGAAATTGGAGATGAGAATCAAACCCAGGTACCCAGTGTGGGATGTGGGGACTCGGGCATCTTAGCTGCCAGGCAAAATGCCCACCCCATGGCTGAGTCTGTATAGCATAGTTTGATTTTAATTTAAGATTTATTTTATTTATTTGAAAAGACAGTTACACAGAGAGGTAGAGACAGAGAGAGTCTTCCATCCACTGGTTCACTTCCCACAGCTGCAGTGGCTGGAGCTGAGTTGATAGAGCCAGGAGCTTCTTCCAGGTCTCCCACGTGGGTGCAGGGTCCCAGGGATCTGGGCCATCCTCCACTGCTTTGCCAGGCACATTAGCAGGGAGCTGGATCAGAAGTGGAGCAGCCAGGACTCGAACCGGCACTTATTTGGGATGCCAGCACTGCAGGCAGTGGCTTTACCTGCTATGCCACAGCACCAGCCCTTGATTATACTTTTGTACCATCACATCTTGTTTACAAAGTTTGGTCTTTGAGCATCGTGTAGACCTTATAATGTGTTTTCTCCCCTCACCAGAAAGCAATAAAGGAGAAGGAGATTCCTATTGAAGGACTGGAGTTCATGGGCCATAGCAAAGAAAAGCCTGAAAACTCTTCTTGACCTTGACAGACACCTTGCAGTTGTAGCCCCTCCAATCAGGAAACTGAGGACCCTGGATGTGTCCACTGAGATTGTGAAGATGACCATTGGATTTGATGTGGTGGTTAGTTTTCTTCCTCACTTGTAAGAGGATGAACCACCCACCATTCTGCTTCGAGATGATCTCTCACTTGCTCTAGCATCTCGCAGGAACTCATTGTGCTGAGAGGAACAACTTCTTGGGACTATGGGTGCAATATTTGGTCTAGCGTTAGCTTTAAATATACCTTGCAGGTAAATAATGATAAACTAGCCAGGATGATCAAGGTTGCCTGACCTCTTGATTTTTGCTGCGAATGATATGACATACACTGTACTGGGGTCATTCTTCATCAAAGCAGTAGGCCCGGGTCTCTCTCTCTCTCTCAGGGAGCTAATGCTCTGACAAGGGGTCTGGGCACCATGGTTTGATCAGTGCTTTGGGAACAGAGGACCAGTTCCCTGCCTTAACAAAAGATGTCAGGTTCAGAGGTGAAACCTTCAGGAGTGTTGTGGTCATGGTTTTGGAGCTCATGCTGCACCTCAGAAATGCAGAACCTGCAGTCGCCATGAGAGAGGAGCCTGCACTGCAGGTTTGCTCTCACCAGCCCAGCATTCAGCCCGAGTCATTAAATTAAGCCAACTACAGGCCCTAAAAATGCCACATGCTGCTTCTGGTTCTGTAGGGGAAAAGGGTATTTGCTTTTTTTGGCCTTGTTTACCTGCCCTGCGCTGTAATGTCTGTGATCATGAAGATGGAATAAATTGTAACATTTAGTGTCTCATTACACGCCTGTGACCACACATAGCTCATACATACTCTGGGGAGGGTTTCTGTTTTATAATTTAAAGGTGAAGAAAAAGCAAAGAGTTGTCTAAACCAGGTGGTTTGGTATGGCAAATGGAACCCTCACTGATTTCTAAAATGTATTTCTGCAGTAGTCTTACCTTTGTACTATGAAACTTGATTTACAGAAGGCCTAAATTCTGTTGTCTTCTCTCTAGTTTACCAATTCCTACTTCACATGCAGCTGTCCAACTAGACCTTAATGTAATTTCAAAATATTCTACATATATAGTAAGGCCCATTCATTACTCAAGGATTATTTGGAACCCAGCAGTGGGAGCTCAGGTGGCAGGCTGAAGTCAAGTACATCTTTCCTAAACTCGGAGTGGCCACAACCAAAACAGCCCTACAGGGACATTACAAAGAGGCAGAGATTCCAGGATTATTCCTTACAGAATGTGGCTTGCATACCATTTCCACATACCTCACCTCTGCACTGCCAGTCAGAATACCTTGTAGCCTCGTGAAGCTTACCACAGAACTGACTTGCTGAGCCTTGACAGTAAACTGGCTCTAAGCCAACCACATTCTAACCCACTGATTGCCAGAACTGATTAAACATTCAGTTACCTAATGCTATTCTTATTTCTGTTACGTAGCTAACCTGCTTTTATGGCCACGTCTTGCCAAGATTAACATCCAAGATTCCTACTAGGAGAACTATTCTTTCTGATCGCTTCTCACCCATTTTGACTTCATTCTCCACAAAGTGCTTCCAACCACCCCAGCTACTGCAGTTTTCAGTTAGTTGCCTTTTCAGGGTGACTTTGTACCAACCACTGTTTCTCCCTAATGCTTTTGGCTACAAAATAGTTTTGAACACAGAAAAAAGCCAATGCTAAAGCAGAATTATGTCACTTTTTTTTTTTTTTTTTTTGACAGGCAGAGTGGACAGTGAGAGAGAGAGACAGAGAGAAAGGTCTTCCTTTGCCGTTGGTTCACCCTCCAATGGCCGCCGCGGCCGGCGTGCTGCGGCCGGCGCACCGCGCTGATCCGATGGCAGGAGCCAGGAGCCAGGTGCTTTTCCTGGTCTCCCATGGGGTGCAGGGCCCAAGCACCTGGGCCATCCTCCACTGCACTCCCTGGCCACAGCAGAGGGCTGGCCTGGAAGAGGGGCAACCGGGACAGAATCCGGCGCCCCGACCGGGACTAGAACCCGGTGTGCCGGCGCCGCTAGGCGGAGGATTAGCCTATTGAGCCGCGGTGCCGGCCCACATTTTTTATTTCTCCAGAGGTCTCTGAACTTGCCGGCTGTCAGGGTGCTAAGAGCAGTCTTACCCCAAAGTAAGAACTTGACACTTGTGGAGGAAATTATCCAACAGCAGGGAGGATTCTGCAGCTGGTGGGCGGGGACAGCAGCTGAGGCCCAGGGACAGCACCTCTAAGGATCACAGGTACTGTACTCCCCAGGGGTAAGCTGCAGCCCTTCTCTGCCCCGCAAGCACTGTACTCTTGGTCCCCTGGCTTTACCCACCCCAGGCACAAGGAACCAAGGGGCTTACTGAAAATAAATGGAGCCAGTGCTATGGCGTATGGTGGGGAGTGAACCAGCAGATGGATCTCTCTTTGCCTCCCCTCTCTCTGTGTAACTCTTTTGAATAAATAAATCAATCTTAAAAATAAGTGGGCTGACCTGCACCTGAAACATTTAAGATAGCAGCCACAGGCCTTCACTGCAGATCCAGAAATATTCTGAATGCTGACTGCCTAGGAAAAACATACTGGGGGCCAGAACTGTGGTGCAGCAGGTTAAGGCCCCAGCCTGCAGTGCCAGCTTCCCATATGGGCGTCAGTTCGAGTCCTGGCTGCTGCTCTTCCAATCCAGCTCTCTGCTGTGGTCTGGGAAAGCACTGGAAGATGGCCAAGTCTTTGGGCTCCTGCACCCAGGTGGGAGACCCGGAAGAAGCTCCTGACTCAGCTCAGCTCAGCTCTGGCCACTGGAGTCATTTGGGGAGTGAACCAGCAGAATGAAGATTCTTTCTCTCTCTGTAACTCTTTTCAAATAAATTTAAAAAAAAGAAAAGAAAAACATACTGAAGAATGCAAGTCAACTCACAGCCAATCTTACGTTTAAGTTATTTATTTAAGCCATCTCCTGCCGTAAGCAAAGAGATGGAAGATCAGTATAATGGTCATCATTTGATACAAGTAAGGAAGGTGAGCTTAAGGTCCCATAGACTTCTGTGGTCCGCATGCAGAGTGGTGGTCCCCGGTGCCTGTGAGGGTCCAGGTTCTCGTCATTCATCTTCGTAGCCAGTTGGAAGTGGATTCACATGAGGGTTATGGAACAGAGTATGGTTCCCATCTCCCCAGGGAAAGGGCTGTGGAGTGAAGATGTCAGTGAGATTAACTCCAGAAAACAGTTCACAAGAACACTTAACAGTGACAGATCAGACATAAATGTAACATGTAGATTAGTCTGTTAGCTACTGGCATACTTCAGCTTTCCCATAATTTTTTTTTTTTTTTTTTTGACAGGCAGAGTGGACAGTGAGAGAGAGAGACAGAGAGAAAGGTCTTCCTTTTGCCGTTGGTTCACCCTCCAATGGCCGCCGCGGCCGGCGCGCTGCGGCCGGCGCACCGCGCTGATCCGATGGCAGGAGCCAGGAGCCAGGTGCTTTTCCTGGTCTCCCATGGGGTGCAGGGCCCAAGCACCTGGGCCATCCTCCACTGCACTCCCTGGCCACAGCAGAGGGCTGGCCTGGAAGAGGGGCAACCGGGACAGAATCCGGCGCCCCGACCGGGACTAGAACCCGGTGTGCCGGCGCCGCTAGGCGGAGGATTAGCCTAGTGAGCCGCGGCGCCGGCCTCCCATAATTTTTTAAAATCTATTTTATTTTGACATCTAATGGTGGACTCCACTCCGTAAACTTGAGAGCGCGCCATCATTTGCTTGTTATGTTTTCACACAGTGCAAGTGGTGGTCGCTCCTTCTCATAGCAGCAAGTGATTCTGCTGTTTTCCATAGCAGCACACTTGAGGGACGGAGAGGCTGAGTGCGTCGAGTGTAAATAACTCGAACGACTGCCCAATTCTATTTACTGGTCAGTGTTTAAGTAAAAATATGCCACACTTCAAGAATTTGCATGTCATCCTTGCGCAGGGGCCATGCTAACCTTCTGTGTTGTTCCAATTTTAGCACATGCGCTGTCGGAGCGACCACAGCCTTCCCACAATTTAAGGAAGCTCTTAAATAGCCACCAAAGAGGCCCTTCTTAACGCAGACAGCGGGAAAAGCAAGCTCAAGTTAGTCACTCTTAGGCCTCTCCCTGGTAACTAGTGCTGTTTATGAAAGTATAATCCTCAAACCACCCGAATCAGAATGGTGCGGTGGGTACAGGGGAGGAGATGCTTAAGCTTATTTAAATGCAGATTCCCGGGCTCCATCCCAGACCTGAAACGATCTACGGACTGGGAAACTGCATCCAACCCCCACGTAGTTTGTCCATCCCCTCTGAAGAGCATTAGGACCATGGTCTCCAACCCAGGGGCCCCTGCGCCTATTTGCAGACATTGGGCGGGGGGCTGGGGGCAAGACACTACTGCCACCTAGCGGGCAGGAGCCAGGGACTCCGCAAAACATCGTAAACGGCACAAAACGTCAATACTGTTGAAAAACCTTGCTGTGCAGCTTCTAACTCTACCGTACCAGGGTGGAGGTGGGGCTCAAAGACTCAGAACTCCCAGAGTCCAGGTTAAGGTTCTACGAGACCAGTGCTACAGAAGCGATGAGCGATGTAACAGTTACAGAGGCAGAGAGGCCCTCGTGTAAAACACAGCAAGCGCTGAACCACAAACGACCTTAACATCCGTACCGACAGTCGGAGGGCAAAGCGGGAGAGAAGACAGGAACAGGCGGAGAAGAGGAAGCCATCAGGACCCGCCAGCTGCTCGGGTCGGCTCAACCGCCGACTCTCCCGTTCTGGAAGGGATTCCCAAACCTCAGGTTTTATACGAGGGACGCCGCTCCAAAAGGCAGGAGGTGGAGGACCCAGGCAAAGGGACACAGTGCGTGACCTTGAGGCACACGCCCGGCACAGGAAGAGCTTGGACTAGGAGGGCACGTACGAGGCCGCTGCATTAGAGTTCGTGCAAATACGGCTTTGTCGCAAAAGCTCTTAAAATCGTACACACAAGGGGTCTTCCACAAAGCCCCCTGGAAATGATTATCAGGGAACTCGGCCTGGATTTCAGAACGAAAGCGGGGTGCCTGGAGAGGCTGCAGGGGCGTACCTTGGACCTGATGCGGAGATGGGGGTAGGCGATGAACTCGGGTCTCTCGTGCTCTTCGTGGTGCGACTTCAGGTAGACATTCAGCATGCTCACGCCCACGCCGGGGAGCGCGACGAAGTAGGTGAGGGCCTTCCACATGCGAGCTGCGGAGGGGCCACAGCCGCTCAGCCCCGGCAGGGCCGGGGGTCGGCCGCCTCGCACGCTCCTTCCCCAAGGCCTCCAGCCAAGGTCATGGTCCCGTCCGGCCTCGACTGAATGAGGCCGAGACCCGCCCCGACCCTAGCTAGCCCCAGTACCTGAGCCCTCCTCGCCGTGCGCGCCGCTCGACATAGGCCGCCCCACCTGGAGGCGGGACCGACCTAGAAGCCGAGAAACCCTGGACCAAGCTGCCGCCGCCATTTTCCTCCTGGACCGCCCGAGCGCCGGAAGCGGAAGTAGGAAAAGGGCTGGGGGTGGGTGGGTGGGACCACAACCTCAAAAAGAAGTTCCTATTGGGTGACGGCTCACGCGCATCAACAGGCACCAAGGAGTCTGCGCACTGTCACCCAGAGCGACCGAGTCCTTGCCAAAATCCACAGGGAGAAATGGGGACACCGAGATAGGAAGAGCGTGATGCCGGCACCCCCGCTGCGAGCCGCGCCTTCCCTTTGTGCGCATGCGTGTGCGCCGGGTCTCCCTGCGGTCCCCACTCGCTGCCTTGGAGTCCCTGGACGACGCTGGAAGGTCTCAGCAGGAACCACCCCGTCTGAAGCGCCGCTTCCCTTCCTCGCCGTCCTCTGCGTTGTTTTTCGTGGCACCTGACGTCATCGTCGTCATCATTTTGTTCTTACATTCTGTGATGCCGGGAGTTTGCCACTGCAGCATTCTCGGCATAATCTATGAACGGCGATGTCTGGAGCCGTGCCTGGCCCGTACCGCGTGCTGCATGAGTGAATGAATGAATGAATGACAGCTGGAGCCAGTAGGAGCCCTGGAATTGGTGCCAGAAGATCTGGATTCTAATCCTGGCTCAACAGCCTCACCTTTTGGCCTCTGGTCACCTGGATTTCTCTCCCCTGGAATTCTGGTATCTGTTAAGTGTTGTCTACACAATTCATACCCCTACTTCTTTCAGCCGGCTCTCCACTTTTTTTTTCTTTTTAAAGATTTATTTATTTATCTGAAAGGCAGAGTTACAGAGAGGCAGAGGCAGAGAGAGAGAGAGAGATCTTCCATCCACTGGTTCACTCCCCAAATGGCTGCAACAGCTGAGCTAGGTCAACCCAAAGCCAGGAGCCAGGAGCTTCTTCCGGGTCTCCCATGTAGGTGCAGGGGCTCAAGCACTTGAGCCATCTTCTACTATTTTCCCAAGCCAAAGCAGAGAGCTGGATCAGAAGTGGAGCAGCCAGTCTTGAACCAGTGCCCATATGGGATGCCGGCACTGCAGGTGGTGGCTTTACCTGCTACGCCACAGCCCCAGCCCCCTGGGCCCTCCACTTTTGATACAGGTCCCTGCTAATATGCCTGGGAAAGCGGCAGAAGATGGCCCATATGCTTGGGTCCCTGCCACCCACGTGGGAGATCCAGAAGAAGCTCCTGGCTTTGGCCCAGCCCAGCCCTGGCTATTGCGACCATTTGGGGAGTGAACCAGCAGATGGAAGATCTCTGTCTCTTCTCTTCTTGCTGTAACTCTGCCTTTCCAATAAATAAATAAATAATTTTATAAATGAGGGAAGGTCATCAAGCTACAACAGTGAAGTGCATATTCCTTGTTTGTAATGTTAATATGTATAAAAAAGAAAAATGTAATGAAAGCTTTGAATCCCTTTCCCCCAAAATGCCTCTGTGAGTGAACACACAGTTTAGCAATGTGGGGGAAGGAGTGACCGGGAAGTATATCTGAAGACCCCCAAGACTCCTTGTGCTGCGTCAGGTAGAACAAACAGGGGCCCTCGTGTGGGAAGACTGGGCTCACATCTCGTCCCCTTACAAGCTCTGTGACTTTGGGGAAGTTATAAGAAGTGAACGCCTCAAGGTCATACAGTTTCATGAAGACGAAAATTGGGGATCAGAGGCGGACGTGTGGCCAGCAGTGAAGACGCCACTTGGGCCACTGCATCCCCAGTAGGAGTGCTTGGGTCCGAGTTCCAGCTCCACTGCGACTCCAGCTCCCGCCACAGCACCCCTGGGAGGCAGCAGTGCCGGCTCAAGTACTCGATCCGCCGCCCCCCCCCCCCCCCCCCCGGTGTGGGAGACTTAGATGGAGTTCCCAGGTCCTGACCCAGCTCCAGCTGTTGCAGGCACTTGGGGATTGAACTGGTAGGTAGGAGGTTCTCTCCCTCTCTCTCTCTCTCTCTCTCTCTCTCTCTCCCCTGTCTCTCTGCCTTTCAAATAAACAACAATCTTCAAAAAATTGGGGCTCGTCTTTCTAGTGCTTCATAATCTGGTCTAGCCTTCAGTCTCTCCCTGCGTAGCCCACGTTTTTACACTTCGTGGTGTAATCAGAAACATAAAATCCCTAAGCATCTGTAAGCACAGCCAGAGGTGTGTGAGGCCCCACCGTGTGGCCACAGGAAGGGCCAACTCAAGGATCAGCAAGTCCTGGGTCCGGATCTCGGGCGTGCCACCGCTCTCCGCTATGCGGCTGCCTCTCCAGTGCATGGGACTGTAACACGCATGCGCGCATCACTTCACCCAGCAAATAGTTGTTAACACCCAGCTCCACCTTGGGAAGTTACTCAACTTCCATCTGTAACAACGGCAATTTGTTTAACACGGTGCCTTCCGTGTGCCAGGGGTGGGCAGTAGTCCACAGAGCCACCGTGTTCGCTGTCTCTGTCACACAGCTTGCCTTCTGGTGACGAAGAGATGACTAAGAAATACCAAATGCTTAGAATATGGGAAGAATTCAACCAGTGTTCCTGTTCTCGCAGGACTCCATACACCTTGCAGGTGTGACTGCTGTGTAGAGATTCTGGCTGTCACGTGCCGGACTGTGATTCACTTTATTTTATTTTTATTTTTGAGAGAGAGAGAGAGAGAGATCTTCTATCTGACAGTTTATTCCCCAAATGGCCACAATGGCCAGAGCTGGGCCAATCCGGAGCCAGGAGCTTCTTCCAGGTGTCCCACATGGGTGCAGGGGCCCAAGGACTTAGACTGTCCTCTGCTGCTTTCCCAAGTGCACCAGCAAGGAGCTGGATCAGAAGTGGAGCAGCCGGGACTCCAACTGGTGCCCATTTGGGGATGCTAGCACTGCAAGTGGAGGCTCAACCTGCTGTGCCACAGCACTGGCTCTAGCATGGATGCTATTGGCAGGTATGCTCAGCGTATGCAAAGTCTTGGGTGACTGAATTTAAGAGACAAGAAAACCACAATTAGCACTACAAAAAATAACAATTTTTTAAAAGAGTTATTTATCTGTTTATTCATTTGAGAGGCAGAATGACAGAGAAAGAGAAGAGGCAGAAAGATCTTCCATCCACTGGGTTGCTCCCGAAATGGTTGCAAGAGCCAGGGCTGGTCCAGGCTGAAGCCAGGAGCCTGGAACTCCATGTGGGTCTCCCGTGTGGGTGGCAGGGACCTAGGTGCTTGGACCATCATCCACTGTCCCCAGGTGCATTATCTGGCAGCTGGCTCAGAGTGGCTGGGGTTCAACCAGGCATTCGGATGTGGAATGTGGATGTGCCAAGCTTCACTTGCTACACCACAACATCCGTCACAATATCTAGTATTTATTGAGCACTTATTTAGTGTCCATGTCTGTGCTGGGCACTTAAATTGTCCTCCCCGCCTCAGTAAATGCCCACCCCTTTCCCCAGGTCAGACACTCTGGTGCCACCTTGGACTCGGTGCGTCCAGCTCATCAACGAATCCTGCCAGCTGTTCCCTCAGATGCGTTCAGCACCTGACCACTTCTTTTTTATTTTTTTTATTTTTTGATGGTGAAAACAGGTACTTCGATTAGCCAGCTGGACTCAGTTTAGGTGACCCCAGTTTTCTTGGTGACATCCGAGGCGTCATCATCAGGAGCACCTGCTCCCCGCCACGCCTGCTCTGCTCAGGTGTTCACGTTGGGCATGTCAGTGTCACAGAGGTTCCTTCACAGCCTGCTGCATCCGCTGCTCGCTGGCCTTGGTCTTCTGTCGCCTGCTGGCAGACTCAGTGCTGGGGGGACCTGACGATGGCGCAGTGGGCAAGCTTGTGTCTCCTGGGGGCGCTCTTCTCAGGAATGTCTGCGCTGCGGACGGAGGCGTAGTGCCCTGGGCCACTGGAACATGGGTGACACGTGGATTTGTGTGCGTGTGTGTGCGCGTGTGTGGGGGGGGGGCTGTGGATACTTCAGCACTGCCTTCTTGGCCTCAAAGCCTTTGCTTGGCCTTCGGCATTGGGAGGGGCAGGAGCCTCCTTCCTCGCTGTCAGCACCTTCTTGGTGAAAAAGCCCAGCCACTTCTTACCACCTGCCGCTGCCAGCTTGGTCAGAGGTATCCTCATGTCCCACCAGGACGACTGTAAGCACCTCCTAACCTGTCTCCCTGCTGCCCGCCCCCTACAGTCTGGTCTCTACATGACAGGCAGGGAGAGCCTTAAGTCAGATCACTCTCTGCTCAAAACCCTCCCCTGTCACTCAGAGTTTACCCTGGGTCCTTACACGGGGCTCTGAGGCCCTACACAACCTTCCCCTAACCCCTCTCTGCATCTCTCCCACCACCATCCCGCCCCCCTTTATCCAGCTGCACTGGCCTCTTTGCTTTTCCTTGAACACACCAAGCGCACTCTCGCCTCAGGACATTTGCACATGCTCATGTCTCTGCCTGGAAGTATTTTCTCACAGATAGCCCCACGGATTGCTCCCTTATTCCACTCAGATCTCTGCTTAGAAGCCATCGTGTCCAGTGTTGTGGCGCAGTGCATTAAAGCCAGAGCCTACAGCGCCAGCATCTCATGTGGGTGCCAGTTTGAGTCCCAGATACTCCATTCTGATCCAGGTGCCTGCCAATGTGCCTGAGAAATCAGCAGAAAATGGCCCAAGTTCTTGGGTCCCTACACCCATGTGGGAGACCCGTCTGCAGTGCACTTCTCACCGTCTGCCATGTGAAATACGTATGGGGTCGTCATCTACCGTCCCCCACCGAGCGCCTCTGGGGGAAGGGACCACTTGGTTCACCGTGTGATCCCGGCGCTTGGCGCATGGCAGACACCCATGGAGTATGCGTTAACCCCAGCCACCTGGGAAGTGCAGACTGCTCTCCCCATTTCTCTGACGAGCCATGCAGGAAATCGCCCAAGGCCCCACAGCTCTGGGCAAGGGGTGGACCCAGGCCGCGGTGGACTGCAGCCAGTTCTGTGACCCTCAAAGCCATACAGGCTCGCGTTTAGGAAGAATGATTCTATCGGCAGGAGGTGACGCTGTCGCACTCGCACGGACCTGCTGCCCTGCTCAGCTCAGGGATTAGCCAG